ACAAGCTTCAGCTGAAACATGCTGCTTCACCCTGGGTTCCTTGAGCTAAATACCTCTCTTGCAGCTCATCCTGCTGAGCCTAGCATGGGGGAAAATCCTAGCACCAGCTCACAGTCAAACAACAAGAGCAGAACCAGGAGCTCCAGATGCCCTTGGCTGCTGCAGCAGAGCCCAAAGATTGTTCAAATGTCTGACTGCCATTTCTTTCTTATCTCTTCTGTTCATCAGTTTCTTTCTTTTTAGAAGACACTTCATTCCTTTGCATTTGTGCCCCCAACAGAAAAGACTGATGGTAACATCATCATCTACATAGTTATACTCCCCAGCCATCCTTGCTGCTTGCAGGATGCCTTCCTCTCCCTGAGCATTGCAGTGTGTTGTCATGGAGAGGATGCAGTCAGCACTGCGAGGTCAGTAGGTACTGTACAGCCTGTGAGTTTCTAGAGCAGAGGCATCAGGATGGATGCAAAGGGCCTTTGAGGATTTTAGGAGGCTCTGCAGAAATTTCCCTGGTAGCTGCATTGTGGTAAATTTTCTGTGCATTTGGGGACTCACAGACTGTGACTGAATCACATGCCATCTGCATTATGATACAGTCCCTCTGCAAAGTGGGCTCTGCAGATTGCTTTCCATGGAAAATCTGTTGAGTGGAACAGCATACACTGAGCAGAAGCATTTGGAGAGGCCAGTAGCTCTCAGTGGGATCTTCAGTGCCTCCAGGAACCAGAACAACCACTTTTTCTTCTTTATTGGGCCTTAAAGAGAATGCATTGGAAACACCAGACTGAACTAGAAGAGGTGAGCAGATCATTTGCAATGCAGTAGGAATCACAGAAAACTGCTGTAAGACAGAGTCCCGTCTGCCTGGAAAATACTAGGACTTGCCACATCTAAGAGATGTAAGCTGGTGTGACAGCTACCACACAGAGATGTGGAGGGTCTGCAGAGCAAACCTCAGATGTCAGGTGCTCTAAGTAGCACTGCATAGAGCACTGAAGGATCCTTCAGGCCACCCACCTGCTCCCGGTTTTCTGAAACAATCTTCCCTGAATTTGCTTACTCCTGTGCAGCAGGAGGGGAAACATCATGGAACACAAACAGAACGAGTGAGCCATGGCTCAGAGCTGGTAAGATACACCTAAACATCCTCAAACTCTCCCAGCCCCATATGCTCAGACTGATTGTTCCAGTATCAGGGTTCACATTTGTACTGGTTTTAGTGCCACAATCAAGGTTCTTGGCTTTGTGACTTGGGGCTGGTTTCTGGTGCCGCTAGTGCTCTTCTTACCCACAATACAACATCTGGGAAAACAGTGCAAGGGAATCAAATTAGTACTGCTAATATGAAAATCAAACAGCAGCATCCCTTTGCTGCTCCACAACATCCTAGTTGTTCTGTAGGTTTTTGACCGACACCAGCCAAAGACCCAAAGCCACAGGCTTGCCTCAGGTTGAGGACCAGCAGGGTAAACCAGCTGGCTGGAAGCCTCTCCAGATCAGTGTGGACTTGGCTGCAGCCTGGGGCTGGATCCCCATGAGGGCTATAGATGATGGGAGCACAAGCCTCAGGATCAAACTGGTGAGGAGACAGACGCACAGGTAGCAAAGCTGTGAACAGAGTGGTCCCCTCCTGGGCCTCAACAAAATGCGTGCAGATGGGCACTTTAACAAAGCTCTCAACTGTTGGCATAATGCTCAGGGCTTTATGGAGAGGAAATGTCTTTCTTCTTTACCTGCACATTCGTGTTTTGAACTCCCTTTCCCATTTATTTTCCCATCTCTCATAAATCATTAAGCAACTGACAAAAATAGCACAGCTTACTTAGGAGGTGATTAAAAATGAGAAGAAATTATCCTATCGCTCTCCCAGAAACCCAAATGTTCCCAGTAGTATCTGTCACAGGGCCAAACCTCTCATTCCCTACTGTTTAGCTTGCAGTCTGACAAGGTGCCTCTGTGCCAGCTGTGCTCTCTGCAAACACCCAGGAATGCAGCATGGAGTATCAGCAGGCTCATCACTGTAGCTAAGACACGAGCACCTGTGTGATCCTACATCCTGCTGTCCAGGTATGGGTCAAGCAAGAGGAAATTTCCACCAGGTTCTGAGAGACATAATCTATCCTAACACATTGTGGTTGGCATAAATAATAGAAAGGCTAAAGTATCTGGTCAGCATTAATTCCTGGAGTAGCTGTTAGCTCCAGTGAAGTAAGTAATGAGATGAAGGTGTGACTTCAGTGTGCTGAAAGAAAGAGTAGTGTTATTTCCCGCTGTTATAAATAAAGTTATTTCAAGCCAGCCAGGGTGGTGTAGGTATTCTCACTCAGCTCATGCCCACTCTCTTTAACACTCTTACCTGTGCCCCAGCCCATTCCCTCTAATGCACCTTCCTCCTGCCCCACCTTGCTCCTGTATGCCCCAGTACCTGCACCATTCACTATTAGCCTCCCCTTTTGAAAGTATAAATATCCTTATATTTCCTTTGCATGCTTTAAGGTTTGAAGACGAGGGCTACAAGTGGAGGCTGGCATCTTAAGACTCCTGTGAAGCTCCAGCTGGAGAGCAGCAACAAGAGGAGCTGCCGCAGTAGAGGCTCAGGCATACCCTCCCTTTGCAACAAGGAGGTTAATTAGGGCTGCTGGGGGAACAGCGAAGATACGAGTGAGAGCTCCGGCTGAGTGCCAGCATGGCCTGGGGCAAGTCACATCCGTTCTTTCTGCTTCAGTCTTTCTGTGCTGAGGCCGGGGGCAATAACTCATTTACCTCACAGTTTGGTCCTTGGATTGGATGCAGAGAGCTGTGTAAAGCACATAACAGTAAAATAGCATTGGCAGTTTGATTTCATAATCCAGGATGTTTCTTGCTGCTGGTGGGATTTTGTAACAAGGGAGATTTCTTGCTGAATGAAATAGGGGAAATTAGTGTAAAGTTGCAAGAGAAGTATTTGGGTTCTTTCAGACTAGAACCCTACAGTGACAAGGTTGTGCTTCACAGCAAAGAGCCATGCTTAAATGAATAGGCACAGAACAAAAGAATCAGATCCAGAACTGAATATTTTATGCCCTAGCATTAACAGGGACAGATGGGACACGGGGCATATCCCATTACAAGGGCTCTGACCACTTGCCTTCCCCAGAGTGCTGGTTGCTGTGCATAAGTGAAGAATGCATTTTGAAGTACCATCTGGAAGCTTCCAAAGAGGGGATGTGGGGCTGCACTCCCGCAGCAAGTTATGTTAATGCTTCATCGGCTCACTTTAGAGCAAGCCAGTACCCTTCTTTGTCTAAGACAGCCTTCTTTTTCAACTACAACAGTAAGTTTGAGCCTAACAAACTTAATTTCTTAGGACCTTAACTCAGCAAAGCATTAAGACCTTTCACAGGCATGCTTTGAAAGGATCCTGCATGATGTGAGAGCAGGTGGATCCCTCCCAGAGCACCTCCATTCTCCTAGACGTGGAGGCTGCTCTGCTGGGCAAGCGCACAAACCCAGTTCTGCAAAGAAGTGTGAGCAGAGAGCCACAGCCACCACCTGCAGAGTACTGCATCTAACTGCTCTTGTGCCTTGTTCCTATACACCCTGCACCTGAATTAAAAACAAACAAACAAAAAACTCCCGCAAAACCTGAAAAACTGCATTCTAACTACTGTGTCTTAACCACCAGAGGAAGAAGAGCCACACACAAAGGCAAATACTTTCTTCTAGTGTAATGCCTGGTGGTGATGAGAACCTGTTCTCAGGTAGGATGGCATCAACCAGGCTTTCTCAGAGGTGAATAAAGGAACAGAAAATGTCACCTCTCTGAGGATAGCTACTGGATGCGATCCTTAGAAAAACCTCTGGAAAACTTTTGACTTTGCACTGCAAATATGGTATTCCCCGTATCTCCCTGTCCAAGGTGGGCTCAATAAAGACATTTGCACCTCTCAGACCTGTGCATATTGTGTATTCGCTATCAGTTTTGTGCACAAAACTTCACAAAAATTTCCCTGGCACAAAATTTCCCTGGCATCAGGAGAAAGCTTAGCACAGAATGAGTCTAGAGCTCCCTAAGAAGGTAATTAAGGTGAGAAATCTCATCTTCACACCTTTCTTATCCATGCTGTGAAAGTGTTTGTGATAAACTGGGTTAAAAATACTTTGTAAAACATTAACTACTAGGGGTGCAGCTGTGGCTCCTAATAGCTTTTGAATGTGTCTGACAAATACAACCTTGACAGAGATCATGGTTTAGAGATGAATGTTTTGCTAAGAGGTAGCATTCAAAAGAGACAGTTTCAGTGCTGGAACTTTGACCAGCTCTGAAGACCTCCAGCTTTAGCTGAAAATGAATCTCAAGACTTGGTAGTGTAATTCTTTTTTGAACATTTAGATGATAATGGAGTCTCTCTCCCCAGTGTTGCAATATCTCAACTTCAGAAACTCTTCAGAGCGGTTCCAGCAGGTTAAATGCTAGCAGGAGCTCCAGTCCATCGGCACTGCTAACCTGTACAGCACTTTATAGGAGAAGTTACAGGTTTGTGCACATGTGTTTGGTTTCAGAGTTGAGAGTATAGTGGCATTTGGATCTAGATTTTGGGTTGATCCACTAGATCTACAGAATCCAATATGAAATCTGTTTAGGAGGAGAAACCTGGGAATTCAATGCTAGCCAGACCTAAGATGTGCCATCACTCACAGCAATTACCCAGTACAGGGCATTTGCTGCTTTTAAAGTGCAGATAGTCCAAGATCTAGAGGTCATTCTGTAGCAGGCATGCACATGATCTAGAAGCAAATTCTTTGTTACAACTTTAAACAGCTATAAACTCCATTGACTCTCACAAGCTTTATACTGGAATATCTACAGAAATGAAAAAAGTCCATACACGAATCTGTGTCTTTTGAAAAAAAAATTTTTTTTTTTTCAAAGATTGCACATTCAAAACTCAAGCTGCACACTGCGCAGAATAGGAACAGCAGTTAGCCAATCCAATTACCACCATGGAGGTGTGCTTTGATTAGTTTGGCTGTAGCCCTGAGCTGTCAAACTCAGTCAGCAGCAAGACACGGACTTGAGGTGTAATTACAGTCAGTGGCCAAAGCGCCTCTCCTGGGCTGTAAAAGTTTTCTTGATCTGTGTTGGAAATGTAACATCAGAGGGTGCAATTCAGTTAAGGGAAAAAAATGTCAGCAGCTGTGTCCACTGATCTGCCCACCACGTTACACACTGCAGTACAAACAGCGCATAAACATGACTGGTGGTACAGCAGGACAGCAGGATTGCTTTCTCTTTTCAAATCACTTGTAGTTTCAAAGAGGAGAGTGAAGTGACAGCTCCTAGCTGGAAACGCTAGCACCGTTGTCCTTCCCACAGTTGTGCATTTTTTAGGTTTTGGTGTTACCTGACCATTTTCACCAACGGATGTGCTTTTTTTTTAGTAACACCTCAAACAAACAAATAAATAAATCAGTACTTTGTGCTTTGTTAGCATCTTTCATCCAAAGTCCTGGGAGTGCTTTGCTAAGCCGTGTGTTACTATTTCCTGCGAGCCACCTCAATCCCAAGAGGCCGATTCTGCTTCCTTTTATATCAATAGGAGCAGGGCCAGCCTGCAAGGACGTGCCTGATGTTACATATCAAGCCAACAACTGAGCTAACACAACTCAGGTGTCCCACTTCCTGCTTTTTGTGCCATCTGCCCCCACAGCGCCAATCACTCTGTGATTCAAAGACAGCAAGTTTTACTTCACAAGATTACTTCATTTCCAGCACTTCTTTTACAATGTCTCCAGCCTTGCAGGGTACCAGAGTGTGCTTGGTCTACTGCTGTTGTTGCTATTCATTTAATACTTTCTTTAGAGCCTTCTGAGAGGTAAGTGATCTATGCATGTGACACCGCATGCCCGTGTCACCTTCTTCTGGTTTCCTCTTTCCCTGTGTTGTACGTCAGAGATATCTGCAAGGAAATGAGAACCTGGCTCTTCTTGCCGCTTCTCTCCCTTGCTCCAGGTTTGACAGCTATCACCACAGCAACCCAGCATGCTCACGGATGGTGGAGCACAGCGCTGGCACTGCCTGGAGCCAGAAAAAAAACCAACAGAAAGTGCCTGGTTTGGATGCAGGTTTGTAACTTCAACCTGGCAGTGAGTAAACATGGAGAACTGGAACAGAACACTGACTTGAATGCTGTCCACAGGGTGTAGGTAGGCTTTCACATTTCCAGTGCATTCATGTCAAAAGGTCTTGTTTCCCTCAAAATAGTATTCAGCTAGTTGTAAAAAATGTAGTGATCGTCACCCAAGAGAATCTGTAACATACCTTATTTTGTGCATCTCCTCTTTCTTGTGCCCTAAAATAATAATGCAACTGATAGCACCAGCAGATAGATAAAAGCTGCCCTACTCAGCAGACAACAGTAAGAGCAGGGTGACAGTCTCATTGCAAGCAACTCATGCAGCCAGTAGTTTGGAAGAGATCTCTGGTGTATGCTTCGTCCAGCCTCGTGCTCAAAGCAGGCTGAGCTGGAGAAGGTTGCTCGGGTTCTTGTCAAACATGAATATTCCAGTGTGGATATTCCTCAGCCCCTTTATGCAATCTGTTCACAGATTTCCATTTGCATGTTTGCAACAAGGACCAGCTTCCACAGGTTTGTTAATCTTTACATCTTAATGTACAAATGGGTTGTTGGGATGACTGTCAGCTTGTGGATTGCCCACAGATTCTTCCTTCCTCTCCTCTGGAAGAAGAAACTCTGTGGACCTTTGTAAGAGACACTTGGAAAGGAGGGTAAGGATACTGGGGAAAGCTGCAAACAGCAGAAGTGAAACTGCAGAGATTGTGAGCGTTTTAACAGCTTCCATCTGACTGGGATTGTAATGCCTGCTTATACGGTGTTGTGAAGCCTTGACCCGTGCTTTCTTTCCCCAGTGTTTGATATCAGCAGTGAATGAGACGCACCTGGGGGCACAAGGACTTTTCCAAGAGAACCATTTTCATCTTCCGGAGTGCGCAGCAGCTTTGAAAATGCAATCCCGTATCTTAAACCACACTGAATGTCACTCAAACCAAAATCAGCTGGGTTGGTTTGGGTTCTTTGTCAATAGGCTCTAAGAGTAGCCCATAGTCTCTATTGTCTGTTTTTCCAACAAAAAATAGTGCCGTTGTAGTCAGCTCCAGTTTAGACAATCAATTGGTAACTGACAGGTATCACGCAAAGTTCTTCTGCAGCCCTCTGTGCTTGTGGGGTAGAGGATGCAAAAGCTTGCTTCCCCTTTGTAAAGATGACTGAGGTCAGTCCTTAAAACACATCCAGAACAAAAACAAGTTTTAAAAAGTATGTGAAATAGCTGCCACATTTTTGTGCGGTACCCTGCTCCCCCAAAATAATTAATTAGGGTGGTTAGTTTTATTTTTTTTAAATACTGTTAATGCAGAGGAGCTTTCTGGTGCATTATGAGGGACAACTGATCACATGTCCCCAGCAAGACCTTTCATTTCTTATCCAGGCTGGCATGCAGCTCTGCTTCGAAGGCCATCTTGTCAAAGGTGCGCGTGTTGGTCTCCTCCCGTACTTTTTCCCGGACATGGAAAGATGCCCGAGCTACAGACCTGGCATTTTCTAAGACAGTTTTCTTCTCCTTGAAGATCTGCTCGCTCCTCTCCAGTTTTCTCTCGATAGAAAGGAGAATCTCCCTGCGCCGTAAGTCCTCATACTGTTCCACCTTTTGCTTGTTCATCTTCTGCACCTTCTCCTTCTCCAGACGGCTCAAGACCAACCTGCGGGCTTTTTCCTGGACCACCTCTTCAGCCACCTGGGCAGCATGCTGGAGCTTCCTCTCTGTCTCTTTAGCCAGGGCCTCCAAGTGCTCCTTCTGCTCTCTTTCCTTCTTCTCTGCTGCCAGTTTAGCTCTCTGGATCTGCATGTCCTCCCGCCTGGCCTTCTCCCTCAGCTCCTGGTTCCTCTTCTCTACTAGCTGCTCATAGTTCTCCTGAGCCTTGGACAAGCTCATCTCCAGGGAGGCCTTCAGCATTTCCTTCTCTTCTGCCTCTTGCTTGGCCAGTTCCTTGAGCAAAGTCTCGTGCTTCAGCTTCTCTGCTTGGTTGAGCTGCTTCCTCTCCTTCTGCAGCCGCACCTCCTTCCTCTGCCTTTTCTGCGCAGCTGTGGACAGCTTCTCCTGCAGGATCTGTTCCTCTCGCTCCCGCTGCTCCTTCTTGCTATCCTCCTTCACCTTCAGATTGTGCTCTTGATGGAGCTTCTTCTGCTTGTCTTCCTGGACGGCTCTTTCCAGCTTCTCCCTCCGCAGCCGCTCCTGCTTCTCCGCCTGCTCCCGCCACCTCTCCTCACATACCTGCCTCTGCTTCTGCTTCAGCAGGGCAACCTCCTGCTGCTCCTGGCTCAGTTTTCCCCGCCGCTTCTCCACCTGGCTCTCCCACATCCGCTGGCCCTGCAGGAGGGCCTTCTGCTTCTCCTTCTCCTCCTGCTCCTTCCGCTGCTCCGCCAGGCGCCGTTGGCTGTCCCACTGCAGATGGGCCGCCTGCCGCTGCTCCTGCAGGAGGCTGGCCTCCTGGTGCTTGGCGATCATCAGCGCCGCGATCTTCTTGTCCCTCTCAGGCACCTCTGAGAGGCCCTTCTTCCTCTTCACCTCCCTGACGATCCTCTCCACCCTCTGGGCGGTCTGCGGTGAGTGGCTGAGGTCACCCAGGCTGAAGCTGCGCCCCAGCAGGGAGCCGTCGGCCACCCGGCCCCGGCCGCGCGCCTTGCCCCCCAGCCCCCGCAGGCTCTCCCCACTGTATGAGGACGACGCTCCCGACTCCGAGGAGGTCTTGCCCCAGCTGCCCTCCCGACGCTTTTGCAGCGAGTCCAGGGAGTGGCTCTTGGCCTTGGCGCCTCCTGACGCCCCAGCCTTCCCCACGGCACGGGGCACAGCGGCGCTGGCGGCAGCCCGTGGGGCGAGGCGGGCGGCGGGCGAGGGAGGCAGGCTGCCGAGCGGAGCGAGGATGCGCCGCTTCTCCTCGCGGATAATCCTCTCCCGCTCCTCGCGGCACTGCTGCAGCTTGCGGCGGCGCTCCCGCTCGTAGGCCTCGTAGAGGCCGGTGGCCACCCTCATGGAGCGCCCGGGAGCCTCGCGCAGCAGCTCGCCCAGCGCCCGCGGCAGCAGCTCCACCGGCCGCACGGCGCAGCGGGCGCATGCCTCCAGGGAGCGGGGGCTGGTCAGCACGTACCGGCTGCCCTCCGCCGCCGCGCAGTCAAAGTTATACAGGTCCAGGTGCAGCAGCGGGGACTGCTCACCGGGTCGGGACGTCTCCCCCGGCGTCGCCGCTGTCGCCCCGCCGGGTGCGGGACAGGGCTGCGCGGGGGGTTCTGCTGGGGGCTCCACCATGGTTGGGCCTGCGAGGAGAGAGCGGTGGCGGGTGAGCCTGCGGTCCTCTTTGTCCCTCCGGCACGGTGCTACGGAAGGATGGAGCAGCCGAGCAGGGGCGGGAGTTCGGTGCCCGGGGAGCTTTGGTGGGGTGGGATTGGGGCGCACGGGGCGGCTGGTAGCGGTGGTGTTTTGCGACCCTCCGTGGGGGTGTCTGGAGGGTACAGGCTGCGGACTCGGGGGGTCTCTGGGGCGCACGGGGCGAGAGGGCAGCCCCGCACCCATCCCTCCGGTTCTCCCGTGCGCGGGGGGTGCGTGGCTGCGGGTCGGGGCGCTGGGACCGCCGCCCGGGCTGCGGACAGGGGAGTTCGACTAGGCGGGAGGGGGGTATTGGGGCTGTGAGCGAGGATGCTCGGAGCGCGGGGGCTGAACCGCGGCAGTGCGTTTGGGGCGGAAGTGTTTGGGGTGAGGGGTGTTGGGGGTGAGGGGTATTTGGGGCGGGGGTGCTCGGGCCGCGAACGGGAGGAGGGGGGCGCGTCCGAGCCGCGGGCGGCACTCACCGGGCGGGCGCGGCGGGCAGCCCCGCGCTTTGTCTCGGAGGCGGCAGCCGCGGGGATCAGGTGGCCGCAGGCGGCGGCGGCGGCGGCGGCTCCTCCATGGC